TTCTGCAAAACCCAAAGCATCAGAGTTGGCGCGAAACCCCCCAGCTGACAGGATTTCGCGCGGTTTTTACACCAATAGCACTGCACCACCAAGGTCAGGGTCTCTGCATGTTTTTTGCGGGGGGGGGGGTACGATGTTTCCGACTGCGTGGCGATTAATTGTTTTAAAATATAACATAAAAAATGAATATATGTATAAATATTAATACTTTATTAACACAAAATCGAAAATACTTATAAATACTTAGTGCTTAAAAATATCAAAAGTCTCAGAATAATAAAACAGTTCTAAATAAGCACCCCTACTCCTGGCTTTAGCGTGCAAAAGGGCCATTCCGCGGCAAAAATGGAATATACCATAAGCATTATTTTATCGGCGTCTATGAAATATAAAATATATTTTTCAATAACAGATAATGTCTTGAAATAGAAAGTCTTACTAAAAACAAATTATGATTGTATCTTTTTAAACGTTGCGACTTTTAGTTATGTAGATCAGTACACCCCCATTTTTCCAATGTTTTGGTTTCTTGGTAACTGCTGACACCAAAGATTGAACCAATAATTCGGAGGGGGGGGTAAAAAAAAAACTAAAAAGTTTAATTAAGGAAACGGGGCCTAAAAAATCAACGGAAAATTAATAAAAAAAAATAAAAAATATTGTGAAGGGACTCGACACATTTACTGAGGTCAGAAACTTTCGTGTGAAAGTACTCGAATTCCCTTCATGAGAGTTGGTCCATTCCCGGAAGTGTATCCGCACACGTGATTGGATTACGCCGTTGACGGCAGTTGCGCTCCTGCAGCTTCTGCAGGTGGGCTTATTCAGTCGTAGGCATGGCTGGTAGCGGCGGCGGGATTCAGGGCTATCTGCAGAAACTGCACTCGCTTTGCGGTGCAGGAGAAACAAAGCAAACTGCCCTTGAGTGCCACAGCGTAATTGGTGATCTGGGGCAGGAGTGCCTGGTTGTAAGAAATGAAAACGAACTGGGTGGGTATTAAATGAACAAAAGTCACGTCCTATTTTCACGACCTTAATATTGAATAAAGTTTAACTGTCTATAATAGTGTGCCTTATTTAACAGAAATAAATAATTATCGAGCTGCAGCAAAGGTTTTGTGGGGACCAATCCACTATTGTATATGAAGAGTAGGAAGGGATTCTCGCCTCTTTGAACTAAAATGGCTTCAGGGACTCTAATAATAACAACGACAGGAAGCCATCAGTGATGCGCAAAAATGTCGTAGATTTTATGTTTTATGTCAGCAATTACCCCTTATGCTATTAATCTAGTGATGTCTTGCGCTGCTACATAAATTGCGATGCATTTAAATTAAACTTCAGGTTCTACACCTTCAACAACTGAGGAATGAACTTACACGTTTCAAGAAAAAAAAAACTTCATTTTTTCTCCTCCAAAGTTTTACGGTCTTCATTGCTGTTTTCTAAAGAAGACGGGTTGTTGAGTTTTCTTCGGAAATCCCTCAGCAGCGAAGATGTAAGTTACTCAATTTCCCCACGCACCGGTTATACAGATGTTCACTGATTGCAAGATTGTGCTCAATGAGGGTTTACTGTTGGACAAATACCTTTGCTTTTCCCAGTTTCGCGACGTGAGAGAGGAGGTTTTGAAACTTCTGTCCACGTTCCTCCAGAGGATCACACAGAGTGTCAAAGGGTGGGAGAGGAACTATGCCGTGGATATCAAGGTGGTATAAGCTGGCAAAAAAATTTCTTTACCCACATGTATCTTAAACATCTATAAAGACATGTAAATGTGAGCATGGCCCCTCAAAAGCAGAAGAATATGTCTTTGATGAAGTGGAAAAAGACTGCTTTGGCTTACTGTGTTTAGAAGCATTGTGTTATTTGCACTGCATGCAGTTCCTGGAATGATGGATGATGCAGGAGACGTTCAGCTGTAGAGTAGAGCTCTCCATTCCTTCTGCTCGAGAGCCCAATCCAATGTGTTTCACACTAGCTTTGAGCTCACAGCTACCGGAAACTTGTTTCTTAAATGTCTGTTTTATCAAGAAGTGAGCCATTCATCCACTCTTTAATATCTGAAAGTTATTATTGTTGTAAATTATGGAGTTTTGTTCAATCTGATCTAATTTGACAAACTTTCAACTGCTTCTGCTGTTCATACAGTGGAATAAATGTCTTACTGTATTTCTGTTTGTCCCTGATTTACCAGGAAACCTGTCTTGTTGTGTACACTAAGGACAAGGCTGCAAAATGCAGAGTTCCAGCTTTGAGTCTTCTGATACAGGTAGACATATTTCTGGAACAAGAGTGAAACACTGTAAAGTATAACTAATACAATTTTTTAAAATATATTTCTTAAAAAAACATTTATAGACGATGCATTCCTTCTAATCTTTCTGGGCTTATGATTCCACATTCAAACAAATACACGCTCTCTGTAGCAGCAAAGTTTGGTGGTCTTGAGGAACCAGAGAGAAACTTCCAACACCCTCCGCAGTGCCAATAATCCCCAGATCTCAATTTTATTAAGAGTTGGTGGCCCCATTGAATATGTGCAGTTCAGTCTCACACACCACCCTTAGCGCAGCCTCAAGTGCAGGAGATCCTGCTGGAAGCCCTGGGTAAAAATGTCAGCACCTTGAGGATCACGTAGCATGTCGTACTGGACGCCTAGAAGCCTTTTCAACTGGCTGTCTGAAGACCATGATCAGCATTAAGAAGTGGAAAAGGTGTGTAGAAGGGTCTAGTTTTCATTGCAGACGTACCATCAAACACAGCCCAACCCAGTGGTCAGCTGGTATGTTTCAAGACAAGTTCCTTGGGCCCAAGTAGTTTAAAAGCACATGAGAGCCCACAAGAGGGATAGAACTCTTTATAAAAGTTTCCATTTTTTTTTGGTGTGGAAAAGAGATGCACTGAAATTTAGTGTATCGCTGACATGTTTCAGGGTTACAGTTTAATAGTTCCCAAAGGCAGCTTATAAGTTTTTCTTTGGAAAAACTTTGTGCTTTGTAGTTACAGAGGCCTGTGTGTTTCTTGTTTTGTGTAGTTGCTTCATGGTACCAAGAGCTCCGGCGTGGCTCAAGACTTCAGAGTTGGAGACATGTTCAATAAATTCTATGGAGAGCTCTCTCAGAAGAGTCGCATACCAGACACAGGTGGGTCAGAGAGCCCATCTACCCTTCAGCACTGTACATGACATTCATTTAGATGTGTGGATTTCTGGAAAATAACTCCCTGACGCATACGGTGGAAGATGATCTCAAAATGGTAGCAGACTGAGACATGATTTTTTGTGAAGTCGTTTCTTCCTTACAAGATGATGTCTAAATAAAAATTAAGTAATTAGTGATTAGTGGAGACCATTGTGACGCATTTTGAATTATAGGTACATTGTCTGCAACCTGTCGTGTAGCCTGCAGGGTGTTTGCTTTTTTTAAAAAATGCATAAGGATGCAACAGCGCTCGTGGGGTTCAAACTTGGGAAGGACTCTCCCTTAAAAAAAAAAAATGATGATGATATAAATGAGCAAGACCCCATCCTAACCAAGTCAGAAAGCACCACAATCAGAAAGGAACCCCTTTTCCTACTTGGAAGGAGGGTATCGCCTATCTTTGACCATGTGGGTGTCCTTAGCTCTCCCATGTAGCACATTTGACAGTCCTTGTTCTGGGAGCCATGAGGCAAACTTCTGATTAAGCCACATTGTCCATCCATCCTGTACGGTTTACAGTACAGAGTCATAGGGGAGTCAAATCACAGGGCACACCAGAGCTAATTAACCTGCCCGTAGGTCTTTGGACTGCAAGAGGAAACTGGAGCACCTGAAGGAAACGCACACAAACATGGGGAGAACATACAAACTCCACACAGACAGCACCCTGGGTCCGGAATTGAACTCGGGACCCCAGCACTGCAAGGCAGCAATGCTAACCACTGCATCGCTGTGCCACCCAAGCCACGTTGTGAAAATATTAATTTATTTTTTATTTGTCTTCTGCATGCCTTCACTGCAGTGCTGGGAAACATCTATGAGCTTCTGGGAGTGCTGGCAGAGGTCCAGCCCAGTGACATGACTGATAACTCGGAGAAGCTGTATCGCGCCTATCTGGGAGAGCTCAAATCCCAGGTAGGATGACTCTAGTTCAGTGACAGCTCTTCTGTTTCAGTTTGATTTTTCAGTTATATATACACAACATACCAAAACACTAAGGAAAAACCCACCAACATAATTCTTTGCAGAAACATGAAACCTTATTTGATAAACTGCTGTTTGAATTAATTCCAGAAAAAAAATGCAATTGCAGTGTGTGAAGTTTCTGATGTAGCAAGCTAGCAGAAACCTCAAAACTGAACTCCCCTCCTTCACTGGGGTGGCACAGTGAAGGCAAAAATCCCCCTCTGTGGTGATTCTAAATCTAAAATAAAGTTTATTTTATTGTAATTCTAAGTGTAAGCAATTATAATTAATATTAATTATACTGACTTATTCTGGCATTGGAAGGTGAATTTCTAGTTTCTAAAAAGACATTCCCCTACTGACCAGCGGGGGGCGCCCACCCTGCAGTCTGTGTGGGTCCTAATGTCCCGGTATGGTGGTGGAGACACTATATTGTTTTGGGCACCATCTTTTGGATGAGACATTAAACCGAGGTCCTGACTCTCAGTGGTCATTAAAGATCCCTGGGCATTTCTCGATAACAGTTATTCCGGTGTCCGGGCCAAATTTCCCCCCTCGGCCTTTACCGTGGCCTCCAAATTGTCCCCATTTATGATTGGCTTGCACCTGCCCTGCGATGGACTGGCGCCCTGTCCAGGGTGTACCCTGCCTTGCGCTCGTTGCTTGCCAGGTAGGCTCCGGCTTCCTGTGACGCTGTATGGTATAAAGTGGTTTGGCAAATGACATGACATTCCCCTACCTTGTTTTACAGTGTTAGTCAACATACAAAGGT